AATTTTTAAAAATGAATCTTAAGATCAACTTTTAAAAATGAATCTTGAGATCAACTTCTTAAAGATGAATCTTGAAATCAACCTTTTAAAAATGAATCATAAGATCAACTTTTTAAAGATAAATCTTGAAATCAAATTTTTAAAACTGAATCTTGAGATCAATTTTTTAAAAATGAATCTTGAAATCAAATTTTTAAAAATGAATTTTGAGATCAACTTTTTAAAGATGAATCTTAAGATCAACTTTTTAAAGATTAATTTTGAGATCAACTTTTTAAAGATGAATCTTGAAATCAACTTTTTAAAAATGAATCTTGAGATCAATCTTTTAAAAATGATTCCTGAGATCAACTTCTTACAGATGAATCTTGAGATCAACTTTTTAAAAATGATTCCTGAGATCAACTTCTTAAAGATGAATCTTGAGATCAACTTTTTAAAAATGAATCCTGAGATCAACTTTTTACAAATTAATCTTGATATCAACCTTTTAAAAATGAATCTTAATATCAACCTTTAACACCTTCCTTAAGAAAGTTAATCGAAAATATAATCCAGAATTTACTTTCCTAGAAAAGTTGCAAAGTTTCGTAAATATGTTTGTAAAAGGAATTTGTTCCTCCGCAAACTTTCTTATAGAACTGAATTTTACTAACGAAATAAATTTGTTAATTTCAACTTTGTTAATGCAAGCTTGGTTTTAAGTTTCTTCATCAAAGGTACAAAGTTACAAGGATGTAGAGTACTAAATGAAATCTGATACTATTATTTGTTCTGTTAAATTAAAAACGTTGAATATAGTGAATCTTCTGTTCATTTGTCGAATGCCATTTCAAATAAAAACGTCGACAATGTCAGTAACAGAATTTCCTACAGAATATTTACTAGTACTTTTATCGGAAAATATTTTAGTAATGCTTGAATCCTGTTGCAAGATTCCGATACAATCACTGAAACCAGTAATTAAGTAAATTGATCCAGGACAAAATACCGATTGCAAACGATAAAATGGAAGGTTGATTTAGAATCGATTACGACGTTTATTTCCATGGATTGCTAACAAGTTTACCAATATATTTAACCATCTTTTCGTCGATGTTAATCGTTGGAAAGACGCAAGGAAGATTGAACGGCTGGGTCTAATTATTTCGTGTTTCATTAACCAGACTTCTCGATCCTGGCTGATCGAACAGGGGAAATTTTCGAGATTACAGAGAGTTGCCACCCTTCGGATGACTTGCACAACTCCCGCGACTTCGACACCCCGTGTCCCACTTTCGAACTTGCCGTGGAAATTTCGGGATAGATTGACGCGAAGCGAATCGCGTTTCATCATTTATCCGCAGGAATCTCTACGCGTATAAATCTCTGATTTAACGCGGAAGTCGGGAACGTATAATGCAACCGTACAATGCAAAACGCAGAATCCTAAATATATAAATTTATGTTAAATATTTCAGTTATGCGGGACTTCGAGGTTGCCGCGATATACCGTAGAATGTAGAACGTGAAAACGTTGTTTAAGCGTATTATTCTACGCATAAATCGTTGTGGGTACCGTAGAATACCACGTGGAATGTAAAAAAGAATTGTATAGTAATAATTTACGTGGAACATGCAGCGGAAGTATTTATGTGTAGAAAATATTTTGTACGTACGAATTTATGTAGATTAAGTTTTGTGCAACTTAAAAATTCATGTAATAAGATTTTTATGTAGAACGTAGTAATTTGTGAGGAATTCTTACATGACATGAATTGTTATTATTCTTATAACAATTTTGTTATTGTATGACTGTTATGGTACGTGCTAAAGCGAAGAATTTTATAAACAAGATGGCACTTACCATACGTCGGCTTCAATAGAAACATGGCTGAGGTTACCTCTGAGTTAAGAAAATATAAACATTAATATAATAATAATAACAGTAATCCCAATAAAAAATATTTAAATACAAAAATAATCAAAGCTCGAACTACATTTTGTCAAGCTTGAAATTTTATCGCTTGATATTTTATTGCAAAGAGATTTACAAATAAGAAAAACACAAGCCTCATAATATCAGCACGAAATAAAATTGATAGAAGTATGAACGTTTAGTTTAATGCACTAGTTTTGATACGTAAATGGTTTTATTATTTACGAGGAATACTTACTGCGCCATCTTGGTACCACCGACGCTCCAGGATCAACACAAGAAACCATAACAACTCAGAACGTAACCGTGTTTATTTGCCTCGCCTTAACGCGTCGAATGTTCGCATGAAACTGACGATGAGCTCGAATAATGCAGCAGGATACAAAATTACATATCGAGGACGTTTTACGAACGAATTTTGAATATTTTGCCTGAGGCTCTCAAACCAAAACAAACGCCACAAAAAAAATTATTTGAATACGTACAATGTTTGCTGTTATAGTTTGCTTCTTTTTCATTATTTAGTTAAATTAATTCTTTGGTTAAATTTATTTTTGTTACTTGGTTCCATTAATTTTTATTAAGCTAGTTAGGTAAATTAATAATTTTCTTAAACTCTTTGAAAAATTGATGTAGAAATTAGATAGTAATTGTGTGTACAAGCCTGGAAGCTTTGAAATGATATTTTTTAATAATTAGAATAATATTTCTTCACAATTTTATTCGTCTTGTGATTCTGAATTTCTTTGTGGTTAAAAAAATTGTACGAATTTGCACTATTTTGGATTGACAATTTATTAAATTCATTATTCCATATTTGTTAATAAATTCTTGTTACTCTCTTACATTTTGTAAAATCATTTTATTTTATAAAACAAAGGGAACAAGCATTATAAACATATTAATGTATTAAAAAATTATAACTTTTCTACCAAATTCGTAACAAGCTTCAATTTAAAATAGTCACCATATTTTTTCAATAATAATTCGTCTAAAAAATGTCCAACTTCTACAACACGAATAATAGTATTAAAATAATTTAGCCAACAATTTTATATTTGAACGGAATTATTTTCGCAATTCCGACAGTATGGCGAGAAACTTCATCTTTCGGAGGCATCCAATCACGTTCCAGTTTTTCTTCGGAACAAGCTGCTCACTGAATTCCAAACACTGACCCCGAAGAACCGACGTCGGCTCGTCGTGCGACGCTCGTATATATTCGCGACGAGTATCTGATCGCGATAACGCCGCGTTTCCATCGCTAGCCGCCACCGTGAAAACTTCTTCCCGGGGACGAAATTATTTTCAGGGGCTCTTTCGAGACGGCATTAAATCAAACTCCGTGCGATCGAAACGCTTTGCTGATCGACTTTCTGAAAAGTCTTTTTACTTTCGATATATGCTTTGATCTTCGTTATTGGAAATCCACATTGTATTCCTAATTCAGTTTTTTATTTACGTGGTAGAGAAATGTACAAATTTGTTCAATTTATTTTTTGGTGAATTTAGGGGATGTTCTTTGTATTATTATTTTTTAAGAAAAATTAATTGACGACTTTATGTAACAAATTAATTGATGATATTTTATGGCAAATTAAATGGTGAATTTATACAGAGAAACTGTATACATTACATTTTGAAACATGTTTTTAATTAAGTTTGCAGTGAAAAGCACAAACGGGTCCAATATTTAATTATGAGCTAAGAGATGCTTTACAAATAGAAATCTTACACAACAAAATTAATTGGTGAATTTATATTATGATACTATATAAATTATCGTATAATGAATCGCATTTTTAACTAAGGTAATAAAGAAAAGTACAAACATATTGAATTTCTGATCATTTATTATCTGACAATTTGAACGAAATTTCTAAACAGTTTCGTAACAACAATTTCCTCTCATTGTCAATTAATGTTACAACATCTTAAGAATGAATACATTACATGGAGGAACGTCCAATCATCGATACCATTTTGATGCGAATTATATTGGTGGCAGTTTGAATGAACAGGTTTCATTACGGGTTTCACCTCGAGTAGCTGGTCGTAAATGGAACGCCAGACATTCGACTAACGAAGTCGCCGGATATCGATAGCTCGTACACATGAAGTGCAATCGAACGGTCCAACTTGCAAATCGTTCGAACAAGTACTCGTCCTAATAGTTTCGATTAATCATTCGATCATTGAAAATTTCTCTTACCCCAGTACAAACTTTCAACGTTTAATCAGTCGAGAAACTGAATACGATTCCTTCTTTTGGGGGGAGAACTTTGGAAAATTTGGGATATCTGGGATTTTTTTGGAAATTTAGAAATTTGGAAGTGGAGGTTTAGGAATTGGGGAATTGGGAATCTGGAAATTGGGGAATTGGAAAATTGGGAGTTGGGGAGTTTGAGATTTGGGGAAATTGGGAATTGGGGAATGTGGGAATTGGAGAATGTGAGAATTGGGGAGTTTGGAATTCGGTGTGGGAATTGGGGAATGTGGGAATTGGGGAATTTAGGAATTAGGGAATGTGGGAATTGGGGAATGTGGGAATTGGGGAATTTAGGAATTAGGGAATGTGGGAATTGGGGAATGTGGGAATTGGGGAATTTAGGAATTAGGGAATGTGGGAATTGGGGAATGTGGGAATTGGGGAATTTAGGAATTGGGAAATGTGGGAATTGGGGAATGTGGGAATTGGGGCATGTGAGAATTGGAGGATGTGAAATTGGAGAATGTGGAATTGGGGAATGTGAGAATTGGAGAATGTGGAATTGGGGAGTGTGGAATGGGGGAATGTGGGAATTGGAAAATGTGGGAATTGGGGGATGTGAGAATTGAGGAATGTGGGAATTGGGAATGTGGGAATTGGGGAGTGTGGAATTGGGAAATGTGGGAATTGGGGAATGTGGGAATTGGGGCATGTGAGAATTGGAGGATGTGAAATTGGAGAATGTGGAATTGGGGAATGTGAGAATTGGAGAATGTGGAATTGGGGAGTGTGGAATGGGGGAATGTGGGAATTGGAGAATGTGGAATTGGGGAATGTGAGAATTGGGGAATGTGGAACTGAAGAATTAATAAACCAATTACTCCAAATTCCAGAATCATTAAATCAAAAATCCAAACAATTAAAAATCTAATAAATAAATTTTCGCAAATCACCCTATTCACTTTCCTCCGAACATTCCCTCAAGAACGCAACAAACAATGAGAAAACGTCAACAACATTTAAAGGCTAACAAACACGAAACAAATAAATATACAGAAGAAATCCCGACGAAACATCGTTAAGTTATTCTCTCTTTTTAACCATAATTCGAGGTAAAGGTCTGAACAATCTGACGCGTTTTCGAACGAGGATAAGTAGTCAACTCGCGATCCTCATTGTTCGGGGAGTTGGCGAACAAAGTTTCGTGATTTTCGGGAGACACGATGCACCCGTCGTTTCTTCGAAAGAAGCAAGTTCGTTAGAAAGTTCCGTCTCTTTCTTTCATCGAAAGAAAGCCTCAACCGAGCTGGAAAAATTCTTCTGACCACTCTGCTACACTTTCCAGCTACCTCAAACGAATTTATCGTTCGAATAAAGTGGAATCGTAACAACATTGCTCGTAACACATCATCGTCGATCATATTAGTGTCGCTAACGTCTAATATCTCTGCTCCTTGTCTCATCACAGCTGAACTTTCGTGGCTTATTGCTACAAACGTCGACTAATCCAGTATTCCATCTTCTGGTGACAATCATTACTTCGTTAATTTAACGACACACAGAATTAATCCTTGTGTTGATGTTCAAACTGTTTGCGGACACATAATTGTGGATAATTGTGGAACTGTTTGTTCACATACATAGATATTTACATATGTAATAATATCTATAGGTAAGACAATACCTATAATGTCACATGCACTAGGTAACAATACCTAGACACCTATTTAAATCCTCAATCAATGATCATCAACACAAGAATTAATTTTAGCTAAGATATTCAAACATGAAGCTAGGTACACAAGTAGCTACAATACTTTCAAGCCTAGCAGAAGATAATCACTCCAGATCCAACTTTCAATCCAGACTGTCCAAACTATCGATCTGAACAGTAATTTAACTTTCCACTGAACAGTCATTCACCTTACGCTGCCAGAGTTCACCCAGAGTCTCGATCAAAGTTCAAGCCCCATTCACAACGCGTCAGATGAGCCTGTCGTTCGAACAGCCATTTTGTTCTAAGCAATCCTTCTTCGCCATGATGCTCCTGTGCTTCCTCCTAGGAGGCGTAGGTATCTCGCTGTCCTCGAGGCTCCTGTTCAACCTGCTGGGTTTTTCTGGAGGAAGATCCATGGGGTCTCCCGGATGAGAAACGGTCCCGTTATCTAAATCGACCTGACGCTCGGTGAATTCGCGATCGTTCCTGATCGCGGACTGCGCTACGGCCTCCTCCCAGGAACAGAACGAGACTTTTCTTACTGTTGTCGGTTTTTTGAGGATCTGACCTAGAGACACGGGACCCTCCTGATCGGATTTTATATTCTTTTCGTCCTTTTCGTGTCTCGAATCTTGGGTGTCCTCTTTTTCCAACATGTCCGACAGAGCTGCCTCCAACTCGGTTAAACTGGGTGTCATGGAGCTCAGGTTGCTCTCCTCAGCCTCCTCTTTCAGGACCTTCAGCAACGTCGAATGATCGACATCCACCTCGGGTTTCTTGGGTTCGGGGCTAGGAGGCGGTGTCCTCGTCTTCCAGTCGTCCAGATTCTTCTTCAAATTGTTGTGCACGTCCTTCGCGAGCTTCTCGTCGAACATCTGATCCAGCTCCTGTTCCTCGAGCATCTCTTTCGGTAACGATTCTTCGGAGATGCTCCTGATCAGATCTGTCTGGAGATCCTTCGTCTCGCACGGGTCGTTCGGCTCGCTCTCGTTCGACAGGCTCCTAGTGAACATTGTCCGTGATTGACTTGATTGATCATGCCCCTCGCTCCTGCAGGATCCTCCGATCGCATCTGGTAAATGGAAGTACATGATTTTCAGTAGTGGTACACTGATGAGCTAGATTTCCCTAGGGAACCTTCCTCTAGAGATAAATACGACCACTAGGGCGAAGGCTAATTGCGAATCAAAGAGTGGTTAATAGCGAGAGACTGATTTATGAGGTTAATTGTAAATCAGAGGTACGATTGTAAGATTGACTGATAGTGAACCAAACACCGAATTGTATCAAATTTTGATTTACATCAAGACTGACTAAATAGCAAATCAAGAATTGTTTTACATCTAAGGTTGATAAATTGTGCATCAATGATTAAGGTACATTAAATGTTGATTCATAACAAGACTGACTAAACAGCAAATCAAGAATTGATTTACATCTAAGGTTGACAAATTGTACATCAAAAATTGAGGTACATTAAATGTTGATTCATAACAAGACTGACTAAACAGCAAATCAAGAATTGATTTACATCTAAGGTTACCAAATTGTGTATCAAAGATTGAGGTGCATTGAATGTAGATGTACATCAAGACTAGCTAAATAACAAATCAAGAATTGGTTTACATCTAAGGTTAACAAATTGTGCCTCAAAGATTGAGGTACATTAAATGTTGATTCATATCAAGGCTGACTAAACAGCAAATCAAGAATTGATTTACATCTAAGGTTATCAAATTGTGCATCAAAGATTGAGATACATTAAATGTTGATTCGTAACAAGGCTGACTAAACAGCAAATCAAGAATTGGTCTACATCTAAGGTTGACAAATTGTGCATCAAATGTTAATTCACCTCAAGGTTCCTTAAAAGTAGATCAAAAATAGGTTGACCACTTGAAAACCAAAAGTTGATTTACATCCAAGGTTACATACTACTGCATCAAAGATTAATTTACCTCGAAGATTGTTTGAAAGACTGCCTCAAAGACAGCTACTTCAGAAAGAACAAACACACTTAACAAACATACCTGAAGCTAAAGCTGAACGATGTTTGTCCTCGTCAAGGTAAAAGGGTTCTTTGGATGCAGTTAAAACTCCGCAACTGTCCGTTGGATTAGAATGCCTCGTCCGAGTTCTACGAAAGCAGTAAAGTAACAATGATAGAAATTGGAAGTTAATAGAATAATCGAAGAATCATTGGAGCGTATTAGCGGTGGATGCTGCGAGAGAAAATTATACAGAGCGCTAAAACCAGCGGAATATGGATTTACACCGCTTGGCATCTGGACTCTCCTATTAAACCCGCTTAATCCCTTGAACACCGACCATACCTAATCTCTACCGACCTATTTGGATCCACTTCTGAATATTCCAGTTCGCCAAGTGCCGGCGACGATGCTTTCCCAAAAGCTTCGGGCTTCTGTAAGTAAATCGAGGATGTGGAAACGTTTGAATCGATTGGAGATCTTCTTTCATTGTCTTTGGAGAAGTCGACGACGTCCTCGTCGTGTTTATCGTTCATCCCTGTGATCTCCTGCAAAATTATGTTACTGTGTTTAGAGGTACCCAGATTCCCGTATTACTACATGTTTATTATAGCTACCCACATTCCTATATTCCGATCCCAATTCCCACATTCCCCAATTCCCACATTCCCTAATTCCCAATTTCTCCAATTTCACATTCTTCAATTCCCACACTCCTCAACTCCCAATTTTTCCAACTCCACATTCCCCAATTCCCACACTCTCCAATTTTCACATTCCCCAATTCCCACATTCCCCAATTTCCACATTCCCCAATTCCCACATTCCCCAATTTCCACATTCCCCAATTCTAACATTCCCCAATTCCCACATCCCCCTATTCCCACATCCCCCAATTCTCACATCCTCCAATTCCCACATTTCCCAATTCCTCACTTCCCCAATTCCACACTTCCCCAATTCCACATTCCCCAATTCCCACATCCCCCAATTCCCACATTCCCCAATTTCCACATCCCCCAATTCCCACACTCCCCAATTTCAAACTCCCCATATTTCATCTCTAAATCCCTCTACCCCCAGAGCTCTAAATTCCCAGATAAGTATCAGCAATTAGAAACATTTGAATCTATGTACCTAAATCTGACAGACTCCAGTATATTTCAATATCCGTAATGCAAACACACTAGTATCGATTGGCGGGACAATACCTCGAAGGATCCTCGTTGCCGGTGATTCAATTCGCAATTACCGATGTCACCGAGATCCCAATCCTGCGATTTACTCGCAGCCTCGTACTTCACGAAACCGGCCTGCCCGCAATCCAGCTTCTCCAGGAGCTGATACGCCGATAGGTTATCGGGGCCTCCTTGGCCGGGAATGTAGTCCTCTAGTCGCACGCTCGTTTTCTGTGGGATTAGAATAAATTTGCGATTTATCCGCGTGATCGCGTTTCTTCGGCTCGAACCCCTTCACCAAGAAACTTCGGGTACCGAGCATTATCCCGCGCGTTTACGGCTAATTTGTCGCGATAGAAGACTTCCCGTTAAATTGAACATAATTCAGGAACTTCCATCGTACTTGACAAAATATGTGCCATCAAAGTTTATCTTCCTCTGCGAAAGCTACGATGAATACTAATTTATGTGGGGCGTTATGTGTTACATAATCGTTCCTTTTGTTTGAAGTCTGTGGAGAGATGACTGATGTGGATGATGAAGTTGAACTACATGGGTCAGGTACATTTTATGTATTCTTCCGATGTTTGAGGTAATTGAGGTTCCTCATTAGAATTTATTATTTGAGACTTTTCAAAGAGCAAACGTAGAGTGTCCACATTTGTACAGGTACATGAATTACTCAAAATAATTCAAACAAAGGACTCGTATAATTAAGCTGACTAAAAGATACATAAGGCAGCTGAAGTAGTCAAAGGTAGTCAAAGTATTCCAAACACTAGGAGCATCCATGATGTCTTAACTATTTGAAGTACCTGAGAAGTCTGCTTCTATGCAGATACCTAAACTAACTATCCAAAGTTATTTCAAGTAAATTTACGTTTTATGTCCTGAAAACATGCTATAGTAGAAGCTATCTACTGTTCGAAGTGATTGGGAATACTCTTCCTTTAAGTACCTAAGTGACATATTCAAAAACCCATGCAAACTTAACTCGAAGTTCATCTGTATACCAATGAGTTCTCCACATTTAAACATTGAGTAATAATGAGTCCTCCACATTTAAACATTGAGTAATAATGAGTCCTCCACATTTAAACATTGAATATTAATGAGTCCTCCACATTTAAACATTGAGTAATAGTGAGTCCTCCACATTTAAACATTGAGTAATAATGAGTCCTCCACATTTAAACATTGAGTAATAATGAGACCTCCACATTTGCATCTCGAGTAATATCTAAACTGCAGGTCCAAAATTAAAACAGCAAACGAATACCCTTATCTCCCCTAAACAAGCTCGTAACAGGCTAAAGAATACGAAGAAAATACCTCGGAAAATGGTGAGAGGAAGGATTCAGCCGGAAGCGAGCCAGTGCTGCTCCTGACGGGTCTCCTGGACTTCGTTTTGTCTTCTTCGCCCTCCTCGATTTCCATCGTCCGATGTCTGGCCACGTCCAACTCGTCGTAATTTGGCAGACTGACAGTGCTATAGTTTTTAGTCCTTACATTAAGCGACGAATCTTTGATTTCCTTCTCCGTCTTCGACTTCCTTTTATCCTCGCGATTGGGAGTCGACGAGTCCTTGCTCCTGCTGTTCGCGAATCTTTGGTACTCGTCATTTTCGTGGACTTTTCGATGATGGTTGCTCTCGAACGTCCTTTTCTTGTCCTCCATGCGAGATGTCCTTTTGCCGGAGACCACGTCGCTCGATATTATCCTTCCGGTCCCGTTAACCTGTTCCAGGAAACGGTTCGTTACTATTGGGAGGAAGGAAATAATGTTGCTGAGAGTTAGGGGTCTGTTGCGATTAATTTCAACTCTCGTTATATTGTTATGGGTGCAGCATTCAGAGTTAGAGTACGCTAATGGAATATATTGTGCAGGACATTTGATATTTGAGAATTTGAACGGTTAGTATGACAAGTTGGAACGCTACAAGGTTCCCGCCATTTGCACTCTTGTGTAAGGTAATGGCGCTTGACTGCCGCAGCGCGCCAAAAAATAAATATTTGAGTTCGGAAGCTTTGAGGTTCCTTTTGTACACATTACTGACACTCATCCAGCGTAGAGTGTGTTTTGAAAATTTTAATTTGGAAACTTCAAACTACTTCACGTATTCTAATAGCGATCCTCCGTCACCGTAGCGCGCGAAAATTTGAAAATTTGAATTCGACATCATTGTATCTATCTTCGCACAAGTTTTCGAGCAAGCTATCACTATCCTACCACTATAACATCGCCTAAATATATAAATTTAAAGTCATCTAACGTCATACAAATTTGAAAGCATTCCCCCACCCACAGCGCGCGAAAATTTGAAAATTGGAATTCGACATCATTGTATCTATCTTCGCACAAATTTTCGAGTAAGCTATCACTATCCTACCACTATAACATCGCCTAAATATACAAATTTGAAGTCTAACGTCATAGAAATTTGAAAGGATCCCTCCACCCAAAGCGCGCGAAAATTTGAAAATATATAAACCTTACATTTCAATCCCATTTAGTTCTACAATCCCATCGCTTTATATCTACCAACCGAACCTAACCTAACCGAACAAAAGAAGAATGAAACTCAAACGCGTTGTAATGCAAATATAAACAATGTAAAGATATTTCTCCACGATCTGGCTGATCCTCCGTGCGTAACCATGCAGAATAACGAACGCCAAGTCTGATTCGTGAATCCGATTCGTAAATATTTTTTAATGTCGTGGATATTTGTTTCACAGATTCGAGCTATCCCCCCGAGAGCGTTCGGCGGCGTTGTTTGCCCAATCGCGGCCCGTTTTGCACCGCGGTAAATACACCGTTGAATATCGAGCCGAAATTTACAATGGAAATTTCTTCGACGTTCTACTCGCCTTGTGTTCGTAAATCTCCTTCGTTCTTCTTCCGTCGCGGGCCGCGTTCTCGTGCGAGCATCGTTGCTTCTCCGACTTGCCGATCTCCTCGGCGTCTTGCTCGTCCCCGCTGCTCTTCGGCGACTTCACCGACGAATATAACGGTTCCTCGCTTGTTTCGTTACGTTTCGAGTTGCTCGAACAGTTTTCGGACACCTCGTCCGGTTTCGGAGGCAGCGGTCGACCCTTGTTCTTCTTTCTTCGTCTTGGTGGCGGGATCGGGGTGCTGCTCTTTGGATTCGAGTCTGAAGATGAAAGTTTAGGAATTAAAACAGTGTGAGTAAAATTGCATTTGAAATGAGTAACAATGTAAGTAAAATTTAGAAAAATATGAAGCTCAAATTCAATTCGTGTTGCAACTTAAATTAACTAATCAAAAAGCAGTTCAAATTAAATTAACTTATCAAAAAGAAACTATACCTCTGAAAGATTAAACGACAATTGAAAGATTAAAGTACCTGAACGTCACATAAAATGAAAAGAGCAATATCAACATCTAAATGCAACAACACTCGTGCATAAACAAGGACAGGGTTTGTACAGACAAGGTAGAAAATTAACTAATCAAAAAGAAACTATACCTCTGAAAGATTAAACCACAATTGAAAGATTAAAGAACCTAAGCGTCACATAAAATGAAAAGAGTAATATCAACACCCAAATGCAACAACACTCGTGCATAAACAAGGACAGGGTTTGTACAGACAAGGTAAGAAATTAACTAATAAAAAAGAAACTATACCTCTGAAAGATTAAACCACAATTGAAAGATTAAAGTACCTGAGCGTCACATAAAATGAAAAGAGCAATATCAACATCTAAATGCAACAACACTCGTGCATAAACAAGGACAGGGTTTGTACAGACAAGGTAGGAAATTAACTAATCAAAAAGAAACTATACCTCTGAAAGATTAAATCACAATTGAAAGATTAAAGAACCTGAGCGTCACATAAAATGAAAAGAGCAATATCAACACCCAAATGCAACAACACTGGTGCACAAACAAGAGCAGGGTTTGTACAAACAAGGCAGGAAAGTATCCCGTGTCGAAACCAGTAGGGTAGCTTTGGACCAATTCGAAAACAGGACTGCCGGTCGTTATTTACAAAATGGGAAGCAGCGTAGTGTCTATGTTAAACGATACAAGCGACCGAGTCCTTATCGGTGAACGCGTCGGCGTCGGGATGCGTCGGCGTCGGGACGCGTCGGTGCTAACCGTGCTCTCGTTAAGGATACAGCTGGCAATACGAGCTAACGATAAATTTCGAGCTTACCGTTGGACGAGGGCTGGTTGTTGGCCGGATAGAGGCTCGTGTCGACGGTTAAATTCGTGAGCACAGGGCTTGGCCTCGGTGTACTTGGTACTTCAAGGTTCACATCGACCCAGTCGCTCGGATGAAAAGGCCTGTCCACGGAGTCTATGCTTCTGCCTCTTGTGAGCACCTCTCGCGGTGGCGAACCGGCGTATCCGATCTCTGAACTGTTTTATTGAAAAATTCCGAAATTGTTCATTAGTAAGTTTCTTACTAGATTTCCTAACTAGGTTTCTGGGTTTATTCGGTTAACATCAATATCTTATGTTTGTATTGGATTTATTTAGTTTATGGACATTTTACTGTTGGTTCAATTTCATAGTCAACCTATTAACTGCCAAATTTTTTTTAATTTTACCACAAGGCTGTAGACTTATATGTCTAATAATTTTGTAAGTTAGATAACATTGAAAGACAAAATAATTTTTGCAACTAACATGTGAATGTTTATATACATTTTATTTAATATAGTCCTATGGTAATATGTCTAATAATTTTATAAGTTACATAACATTGAAAGACAAAATAATTTTTGCAACTAACATGTGAATGTTTATATACATTTTATTTAATATAGTCCTATGGTAATATATCTAATAATTTGTAAGTTAGGTAACATTGAAAGACAAAATAATTTTTGCAACTAACATGTGAATGTTTATATACATTTCATATAATGTAATCCTATTAAAAGTGACAAAAGAAAAATATATATTCAAATCTTTATTTAGAAATCATAGTAACAAGATCATGATGGACTATTTAAATAATAATGAAGCTAATAGTCAGAGTTTGTAAACAATAAGAACAGAGTTTGTTTGCAATGAATGAATTTTGTACTTCGTTACAAACATGTACATAATGGCAATTATTGTTTTCTTTTTCTCTTGCTTCTACAGTACCTTGATATGAACAATATGTTACATATAAACACACATGGTATAATGTTTGATTTCCTCATTTTGCTAATCATATTTGCACATCAACAATATGTTACGGACAAATATTGTTTTCGTACTTCAATTTCAGAAAAATATTCAATCTTTCGAAAGCATTCTTGATTTTTCCGAATGTCTCGTTTCGATTATCTTGTACGTGTGACATCGTTCGTTGTAGCCGTAGGTATCACGCGTTTGCATATATTTTGCATATTTCGATATGCCATAGGGCATAAACGTCCGTACTAGTGCGAATTCAGTAGTAAAAATTAGAAATAAAGGATAAAGAGTGTAACACTGATGAGTAAGGAATATGAATAATGCAATAGACCGGAGATGCGTATTGAATATTTCCTCGTCGAAATCAGCAATGCTAAAGGCAATTCGATATTTTCAATTTTTACATATACATATATTACAATTAAAATAACAAATTTTTTCGTGTAACTTATATTTTATTGATCTGGATCGGCAAATTAAAATCAGCCGAACGCTCTCTGGTGTTTGTGTTCCGGATATATTCTTCGGGATCCCTGTTCCGTGAGAACGATCGGTATGCAAAACTTTTCGGTATTATAATATCTCGTTTAAGCCGGGAGTTCTCTTAAAAGTTCTCGTTCGACGACGATTCAGGGCGCAATCTCTGTATTTCGAAAATTTCTGACCCATCGAAATTATTTGGCATCGCTACAATGCAGCTCTATTATACGGTCACTCGCAAATGCATGCCGTGTTTCTTCGTGTCCCCCGAGCCATAACTCTTCGTGGATGCGAAACGTTGCTGGAATTTCTCCCTGTACGGGTCTCCTCTTCCTTTTATACGAAAGTTCCTTTTAACTTCTTGCTGAAAGTGCTGTGACGCACGCGAACGATTCGGGAATATCGACGAAAATCGTGGAATTCCATCGATTAACGTTTTTGCCTTTCGAACCCCTGTCTTCTTCGCGAAATTCTTTCCGTTCGAACGACTGGATAATACGACTATACGAATGGCTCAAAATAAAAACATAGTACTTCCTTCCTCCTTGGATCTTTCATCTTTAAACACTCTTTTGATTTCTTTAAAATTTTTTTTTTTTCTCTCGTTCGTATTTTCGCTGGATACCATTATTGGGATCATATTTTAATTATTGTGCTTTTGTTATTATACTATTATTTATTAGAGCCATTGGTACTACTAGTACTCATTGCTGTAATTATATATCTTGCTAGTACTACTCTTTAGTATTTGGTTACTCACTATTACATTACTCGTATATCGGATTACTATCTCATACTATATACGATTACTAGTGTTATTGTTACTATTAATGCTAGTTACTATTAATTCACTACTACTACATATCACTATATCAACTATTATTAATACTATTTAACGCCATTTTGGTTCTAGAGCATTCCTCTGCCGCTCCTATTACTATTACCATTACTATACTATTTCAATTGTTGCTATTATTAGTACACCTATTTACGATATCATTACTAGTAATTTTCTTACTATTAGTACCACAATTATCAAATACTACTTCCAACTATTACTATACTACCATATAAAATTGTGAAAAAAACGCTGACCCCCAGGATTCGAACACGGGCCCTCAGATTGACAGTCCGCTACTCTAACCACAACACCACCACTGCTATCTACTACTCATCTTCTCACTATCATTTTATAGTCTCAACTTCAAAATCATACAAGTCCTGTTTGAATAATTGTATAATAAAATGTTCATTATTATTTCTGAAAATTGTAAAATGTTATTTTATAAAATTAAAAAAACTGTATAAAATATTAATTCATGTTGTGAATATATATCTATATAAACCTAAATATATCCTCATATATCCCCATATCTCCAGTGTCGATAATTCAGTAATTTTTCCATATTTCACAAGTGACATAATCCCAGCATCTCTTTCAGGTCCATATTTCAGCGTTTCCTTTCGAAATTTATTCGATTTTCGATACAGTACACCCAATAATAGCTTCAGGTTTACTTATTTACCGTGAACAGGGCCGAGGTACACAGGAAACCGACAGAATCGCAACTCGTGCATCGGTACACATCATATTGTAGCCCGGTTACGTTGAAACGCATTATTTCGCTAGCTGCACACCATCAATATCGAATCTCTCATTGGCTAGTCGTTCGCAGCCATTATTAATGCATTTTGCGAGAGAATCGTAAAACCATCGGCGACGAAACGTTATCGAAGTTACGTTTACCTCCGTCGAGTTACGGTAACGACGATATTCTGGAAATGCCGTTGACTTTCCGCGGAAATAAAAAAACAAGGAAAGAGCGATCGTAGTTACGTGGAACGATATTCGACGCAAAGGTCGACGAAAACGAGGAAAGTGGAAAGTTCGCCGAAAATAGCCGGACGATCGTAAAGTCCGCTGTATAAACACGTTACTGTACATACACCTGGGCTTACACGAGATGAGATTCGCGTTCGGAATGCGAAACAACCGGATCGTGAATGTGCACACACGAGGCGACCCGTTGTATCGCCAAGCAATCGGTGCAGAATTCGAAAGTGAATCATCTATAATCCAGGGATTTCGAAATCGAATCGAAAGAGAATCTGGAGAGATCGCACTTCGCATTCGAATGTTTTTATGGAAATTATACGAATAATTATACGTTCGCTTCGTTCACGTTGCGTTTCACGTGCGCTCAATTCTCCGCGTGTGGTATTTAGCGCGCCGGATTTTTTAGGAGGTGAATTTTCTGTATGTGTAACTTGCTATAAGAGGAAACCTCTCGATGAATTTTTTGCGTGTCGAATTATTGACGAATGAAAATTTCTGAGCGATGAATTTTCTGTGCGACAAGCTTTCCGTGAGTCGAATTTTCCATATGTTGAATAGCGTAGGTTAATTTCAAAGATGTTGAATTTATCACGCGCTGGATGTGTCACGCTTCGAATTTATCTCGAGGTGAATGTACTATGTATCGAATCTTCTATGAGTCGAATTTGGCACGTGTAGGATTAACCACGCGGCTAACTTCCTACACGTCGAATCTACCACGCGTAGAATTTTCCACGCATCAAATTTCTCATGTGTAGTGTTTCCCACGCGTGGAATTTCTGACGCGCCTAATTTCCCATGCGTCAAATTTCTCACACGTAGAATTTTCCACGCGTAGAATTTCCCAAGCACCAAATATTCCGCGCGTGGAATTTCTCACGCGTCGAATTTTCCTCGCGTTCAATTCCTCACGCGTGGAATTTCTCACGCGTCAAATTTCTCACGCGTAGAATTTTCCATGCGTAGAATTTCTCAAGCACCGAATACTCCACGCGTGGAATTTCTCACGCGCCGAATTTTCCACACGTGGAATCTCTCACGCGTGGAATTTCTCACGCGTAGAGTTTCTCATGCGTGGAATTCCTCACACGTAGAATTTCCCAAGCGCCGAATATTCCATGCGTGGAATTTCTCGCCTATAGAATTTCCAATATTGTTGAAAGAAGTGCGAAGAAAGAAAGACGGTAAATTTTGCGCAACAGCAACGCTCCATTTTCTTTCTTGATTTCAAATTAAAGAAGAGTAATGTACAAGTCTGTTTCGCTACGTTAAGGTCACTGTGAAATATCGTATTTGACGCGGATCGTGAGATACGATGTTCCCACTCGGAAAAATTGAAAAAATGAAGAAAAAATGTTCAAGGTTTCTCTGTGACAACCACGAAGCACTAAAAAACAACCGCGTACTTTATTCGGTTGTAAAAGGAATGGAGATTTTCCTTGCAGCGTCGAGAAAATAAAAGTTTCATTTTCTTGAATGCGTCTTTTGTTTTGAAATACGCAACGGAGGTTTATTTCAAAAATTGTTCAGTATAACATTCGGTAATAAAGCGTGATATGACATTTATGGGAAGCATAACATTTATTCTGAAGAATGTTCCTATAGTTAAATGTCGAGGTTATAAAATAAAAACAAATAAAAAACGGGTTATCAAATTCCTTTCTTCAACAGATTTTTGTAGTTTCCAATCGTTGTACTTAAAAATTGTATGATTTCTTTTTCTTATCGTCTCCTATCTTTTATAAGTAACAGTTTCTTGTAAAATTTTTAAGAAAACTTTATTGAGATATTATAAATGGTTATGATACGAGTTGACCAATGTAGCTAAACAATGGAATAAGATAGTCTAAATAGCACGAAAGACAGATCAAGAAAGGGTTATCGTGAATTAAGATCTCCATCGCGTGACAGC